AAGAGATGAGGGTTCTTTGCTCTCAAAATGTGTGTGATGGATTGTTGGAGAGGGTGTTCAGATAACAGTAATTTCTAAATTATCCTAAAAAGGAGGGTTGTTTAACAGGCTGGACAGTATAACTTGCTGTCCTGCTCAAAGGGGCATCCTGGAGTTGTTTTTCCTTGGAATTAATACTACAGTTTGCACTGAATTCCAGCACATAACGTGAACTGTGGTTTTGCAAACAGTCTAAGGCAGGGTAAGTACTGAAGAGATGAGGAGTGCAAGTTGGTTATTTTTTTATGTGAACTTCTTGGTTTTAGCACAAGGGTTATGTGCCAGAGGTGCACATACTTCACCTACGGTTATAAAGCACTGTTTACTTCTTTTTGTGCAAACACAAAAGCCAAGTGGGAAGGGATATTTCATAAACTCAGTGCTATTGTGTCCTCTGGTCTAAGCCATAAAACAAGAGTAACAGAGATGTTCCCTTTGAACTTGAAATCCTTTTCTAAGCTGATGATCTAACCTAAGTGAGAGGGGGAGACTATACCAGCCAGAAAACTTCTCTTCTGGGTATTTTTCCCATCCTGCCCCTTTTCTTTTTAAATGTCCTTAAGTGAGTTTGATGCTGCACCTCTGCCCATAAATTTAAAAAAATATTATCGTAATGTAGGTCAGTGAACTGAAACGCCACTGTACACCATGGGGGATTAAAGTCAGAGAGGCAGCCCTCTCCCACTCTACTAGGTCATATGACAATATAAACAAGAAATGCAAGGAGCCTTCAGCTTTTTCTTGCCCTAATCCTTTGTTTATGCAGCACTTAAACTGACTTTTGGGGTCGTCTCTGTCTGGCATTAAAGCCCTAAAGCTTTTTGAAGTTTCCATGAAGTTAATAAAATTAGTCTGTCCTCATTGCTAGGCCCCTTGCTGCTGCTTCAGAGCAGACTGCATATCCCTTACTGCCTTTGTGGCATTTGGCTTTGTGAGTTCATAATATTTTATACTGAAAAAAAGAGTGTTTGAGAGAAAAGCAGAAAGCTCTCCCGAAAGGCTGTTCAGCTAATAGGCAAAGTGATTGCCATTGTAGATGTTCTGAGAACTCAAAGGGGATTAACTTAAAATCCTACGATTGGAGGTAAATTGCTGGTAAAGTAATTGGAAGTGTTGAGTTTCAGTTAGGGAGAACAACATGCATTTCTTTTCCTTTTTACAAAGCAAAGCTAAACCAAGAATATAATTTCTTTTATTTTTTTCTAATACACTCTTAAAGTTGAGAAAATGAGCTTTCCTTCATTGCAATTCTCTGCTTCATTCATTTATTTTAATGCAAAGACTGATCCAGTTATCTTAGTTCCTGTTAGGACAGGCATTCTCTAGTTATTTTGTCTTTGTCAGGAATAAATTGATGATGGCCTCACTGGAGGGCGTGGATGGCGCAGGATGGGGTGTGTAGAATTTAGTGAGCGAGACAGAAACTTTGGGTCATAGAGGTTTTATTCCAAACAGAAGTTCAGGCAAGTCACTGATCACTTATTATCTCAGCATCACTGAAGTGGTTTTGTTTCTAATGGCCTGTAGAGATGCCCAAGAATCATGGTAATACCTACAGAACATATTGATTGGTTAAAGGAGGGATTTTTTTTTTATTTTAACGAGTTAAGAACTAGCTGGATGGCTGGGTCCAGGGGGTGGTGGTGAAAGGTGCTGCATCCAGCTGGGGGCCAGTCACCAGTGGTGCTCCTCAGGGGTCTGTGCTGGGGCCAGTTCTGTTCAATATTTTTATTAATGACATGGATGAGGGAATTGAGTCTTTCAGTAGTAAATTTGCAGATGACACACTAAGCTGGGAGTGTGTGTCGATCTGTTGGAAGATAGGAGGGCTCTGCAGAGGCCTGGAATGGTTGGATGGATGGGCAGAGTCCAATAAAACGAAATTTTGCAAGTCCATTATTTGTGGCCAAAATTTGCATTTTGGCCACAAAATAATCAATAACCCCCTGCAGTGCTACAGGCTGGGGTCAGTGTGGCTGGACAGTGCCCAGGCAGAAAGGGACCTGGGGGTGCTGGTGACAGCTGACTGAACATGAGCCACCAGTGTGCCCTGGGGGCCAAGAAAGCCAATGGCTCCTGGCCTGGATCAGGAACAGTGTGGCCAGCAGGGGCAGGGAGGTTCTTCCCCTGTACTCAGCACTGGTGAGGGCACACCTGGAGTGCTGTGTCCAGTTCTGGCCCCTCAGTTTGGGAAGGACATTGAGACGCTTGAGCACATCCAGAGGAGACTACGAGGCTGGTGAGGGGCTGGGAACACAAACCCTGTGAGGAACGGCTGAGGGAGGTGGGGTTGTTTAGCCTGGAGAAAAGGAGACTTGGAGGTGATGTTATCAATTTCTACAACCTCCTGAAAGACGTTGGTAGTCAGGTGGGGGTCGGTCTCTTTCTCCAGGCAGCAGCTGACAGAATGAGAAGACACAGTCTTAAACTGCACCAAGGGAAATATAGGTTGGATATTAGAAAAAAGGTTTTTTAAGGGAAGAGGGTGTTGGAGTCACCATCCCTGGATGTATTTAAAAAAAGACTGGAGGTGGCACTTGGTGCTGTGGTTTAGTTGAGGTGGTGTTAGAGCATGGGTTGGACTCAATCTTAGAGGTGTCTTCCAACCTGGTGATTCTGTGACTATAAGAGTGGAAAAAACAGTGCAGCTGGAGCCCTTGGTTCCTCTCCTATATTGAATGTACGAGAGCAAGACCCTAAAATGCACCTTTCTTAATAAAAGATAAGGGTTTTTTTTTTTAATTCAAAGGTTTTATGTGAGTGTGGCATAACTAAATGCTGATAGATTTTGTTTCTGTTCTGATACTCAGAGGTTATCATTTCTGGTTTACTCTAAGGTACTTGATGCCTGTAACACTTATTCACAGAAATCACTGGAGTTTTTTCTGACACGCTTGATGGGGAGGCTCTAAACTGAACCATGCTAGCCTAGTATGATTGCTCATCCTGTAATTCCATTTTTAATTAAATTAAAGATAACTTTGAAGTGCTCTTGGAAAAATAAAAGATGTTTCCAAGGATGTTGGCCTTTAAAGTTGGCTTCCTGTGCCATTTGAGGGATAACCGCAAAAATAATAGATATATTAGAGATCCTTCCCGGAGCATATTGTACCATCTGTATTTCAAACACAGGGGAAAGAAACACTAGCCAGCAGTGGACAAGAGGCAGAACAGTTTTGAAATTCTTGTTTTAGGAATAAAAGATCTATAGGATGAAATAATATTTTAATTTCTCTAGCCAGTGCAACTGGAAAAAAATTAGATTTTGAAAATGAAAATGCTATTTCAGGTTGGTATTAACAGCTTCTTTTTTCTTCTAGTCTTCTGTTTCAGACCCAAAGAAAGGCAAGTGTGACTGAGAGCTTATCTCCCCCCCCACCTCCACCTATTATCAGGGCCTCTAGGAAAAGACATTATTCAGTTTTACATTTAAGCCAAAATGTTGCTGAGCCATGATGCTGCCATCAATGGTTCACAAGCTATTTTGAAGCAGTGGGAGAGGACAGACACAAAGAAACCCCATAAAAGTGTCCTTTTGGGGAAAGATGAGGAGTTCAGGCAGTGAATGTTTTTGAGGCATCTGAGTGTTTCTGCCTACAGCCTTGGCTGGTCCCAGAGCAGAGTTCCCTGTCCTGTTGTCATCTCCATGTGACAGAAGCAAGAAGGGCTGTAGATATTTCTCACCCTGCATCTGGTCTGGGAAAGGGAGAGGTCCTGCCAGTGCTCTCTGATACTGCACAGCCCTTTCAAGACTGTTTATGGCTAGGCAAGTAAGATCTGTTTAAAATAAAACAAAAATGAAATTTCTGGTACTAGGTTTACTACCATACTGAGATTGGCATTAAAATGGAGGTATATATATGTAACAAAATAATAACAGTCCTAGGGATTTGAGTCTGTATATACATTATAGTTTATAGGTGGAGGCTTCAGGGAAGGACAGTTGCTTAATAAACTGGCAATACTTTAAGTCATCATTATTTTGAGTTCATTTAAACTGAGTAAAGGGGAATGTTCAGAACTGATTGCAATTCTTTACTGTTCTCAGTCACTTTGATCCTTTCAACCCTTAGGTGTAGCTAAAAATGGCTCCTGAGATATGAAGAAGAGCTGCAACTTTCACCAAAAAAATAATCTTGGAAATATTTAAGTAATATCCCCATATTTATTCTGATAAATAAATGTTCTTTCTGTGTCTACAAGGTAGAGTAACTGCAGGCGTTGGCTGTACAAGGATATTCACACCTACAGGATTAGGCTCACTTGACTGCACCTTATACTTTATAATGCCTAAGGGAGGGTTGTTTATCTTGCCTTACCCACCAACCTCACTTCCTCTTGTTCCTGATAGCTTAATTAAGAATTTAACTTGGAATGGTTCTTCCCACTGGGTTACAAACCTTGAAATTAAAATTTGATACAGTGGTCATAAGGCTCTTGGTTTAACAAATCAATATGTATGTGAAGGTGAGTATTTAAAAGGCTCTATTTAGAAACTCTATCATTTCTTTGGAAGTGTAGCTGTTGGAGTGCAGGTCTGGAGCTAAGACAAAGAATGTTTATGTAGGTGAAAATGTACCTAGCTGTAGAATGAAAAATGGAATGAAATTTTTGTCAGCATAGGTACTTTAGTGACTTTCATGGGGAGTTTTCAAAGCAGAAAAAAGATTTTAATTAACTGATCTTTACAGCGTGCTCTGATATAGGTTTTATTCTTCCTGTATTTTGATAAGGGAGATAGAAGCAGAAATGTGTTAGTTCATAAAATCTTCTATGGTTTTAGAATTGCCTTAAACTCAGCAGTTTAGATGACTCACCCAGAGTTTTGCTCATTTGGGCATAAATGGTTTATCAGAGGTGGAGTGGTAGAAGTTGCCAAACTTTGCATGTAACATGGATAATTTTTTGTCACTTTAGCTTGTAGAGTTATGAATCCCTTTTTTTTTTTTTTTTTTTTGCAGGTGATGGATGATTACAGTGTGATTGGTCGTTCATTGTTTAAAAAGGAAACAAACATCCAAATTTTTGTGGGTCTGAAAGTGAAACTGTCTACAGGAGAAGATGGAATAATAGATGGTGGTTTTGGACAAAGTGGTAAATTTAAAATCCGCATTCCAGGTAGGTGCTTAACAGTTAACAAATACTAATCTGTGTCAAGTGTAGAGGATCTTTCCATATTGCAAGGCAAAGTGCTACCTTTGTGCTACAGATAATCTCCTGAAGTTCTGAAATAAGCTCATACCCAGTTGGAGCAGGGATCTGGTGGGGACTGTACCTCTTCTAATTACATGATGGTGGCTGTGACTTGCAGTGTGAGACCAAATGGCCTGAAGCCACATCCCCTGTGTCAACAGTCTCAAAATGACTTCTTGCTAAGTGGCAGTAACACAGAAATCATGCTGTGGCCAGAGAGGTTTGTGGTAATCTCTCCTCTCTTAATGTATGTATGATTTGCACCAGAGCCCTTCTAAACAAATAAAAGAGAGCAAACCTGCAATCATTTTACCTGTAGCTACTTATTAAATATAGTATATTGGATGCAAGTTTCTTAAATTGGCTCTGTTCTGCATGTTATTACCTAACTTGCCTTCAAGCAAAAACTGCTTGATAAATGGGGTTTTGGACATCTTGAGAGTTTTTTTATTGCTTGTGTCTCCTGTTTTTATAATATTATATATGACTGTATTTTTCATTCTTGGTGAATTACAGGAAGGATTTATGCCTCCTTAGGTTAGAGCATGGGAAATGATGGATGCTAGAATTTATAAGTGTCATTTACTATGGGCTTTTTTTCCTCCTCCTTTTAAGGCAGGAGAGCAGTTCTGAGCCTTTTCAAAAGGCTGAAATAGGTGTTGCATTTAACTCAGATTGCAGGATAAGATTTTAAGGATATCAGACAGTACTTTTGTATTTCTGTTTTGTCTTCAGCTTGTTTGTCATTGGTTAATCTCCCGCCCTCTTAGGGAGATGAGTAAGATTACTTCTGTTGAACAAGTGGAGAAAAGAAATCATAATTTTCTATGGCAGCAAACAGTCAACATAGCAATTGATCTTCAGAGAAAGGTGAAGTTTCCTGATTCCTTGCAGAAGATGGACTATCTTTCAGTTTAATTTAGAGTGTGATGCAACTGCTCTAATTTTGACCCTTTTTGCAAGTTTCCTTTCTTCTTCCTGTTACAGGATAAGAATTTCTGACTATATAAAATATCTCATGTGTTCTGTCCTAGACGGTACTTACAGTTTTGCCACCAAATACTAGATTTTGCAAATAGGTCTGAGAGCCTAATTAGCAAGCACACTTCACATTTAAAGAAAAAGGTTGCACCAGATACGTGTTTGCTTTTAGTTTTCTGGTATAGAAAGGATTTTGGGGATTCAGTGAGGTACCTTTAGGTAGGTGATGAAATGATGCATAGATGGCCTTTGAGCTTAAATGCTGAAAATCAAGATGGTGTCTTGCATAAAAATGTAATTACGTAATGTTCTTAGTAACTTCTCTCCTGGAGGCAAAAATCTGATGAACAAAAAGAACAGAACAATGGTATTTATGTTGCTATTTCTACATTTTTGCATGGAGGAAATGGTTCTTCCTGGGACAGAGAGAAGCCTTATAAAGAGTCTCTGGCACCCTTGTGGATTTAAGCAGGAACTGTAATTGTGAACCAGCAGTTACATTAAGAAAATTGTATATAGATTTAGATAATGGCATTTTTCTCTGTCTGTTGAGTTAGTGGGAAGAAATGATACCTTTCACCAAGGTGTTCATTATCTAATCTTGCTTACACTCATCAGATGTTTAACAGCAGACCTTGAAACAGAGGACCCTTTATGGTTTGTTCTTTCAATTAGAAGAATATGTAGCAGAATGCTAGAATTTAATACCTCTCTAAGGTAGGCAGAATCATACAACTTAGTTTGCTTTGCTTTAGTCTGGGTCAAACTTGGGTGCTCTTGTTGTCTGGAAAGAAAAGGCAGTTAAACTAAGTCAGGTTGAGGGTATCAAGGAATGGGAAAGAAGCACAGAATTTGAAAAAGCCTAAAAACCTGTCTCTTTAAGAGTTCCACAGATTTGTGTGTAGGGGGAGGGCCATTGCTGTGATACTGCTTGAGTCAACTGCAGTTCACATTCCTTTGTTAGATCAGTGTTGCTTTTTTAATGTGTCTGCATCCTGTTTGTGGGTTGGGGTTTTTTTTTAATTTAACTGGTCAGACTTCTCTCTCCCTTACCCCATCCCATTCTTCATCCTTGCCTCCTCTCATACAGTCTCTTACATATTTTTTGGGGTAGACCTTTATGTAAATTTTTCAAAAGTTATTTTTCTGTGATTCCTTCAGAAGTGTGTCAGGGAGTGGGAGGGAAGGGAAGGAAATGTCCAGGCTGAAAACTGCCTTGTACTGCCTCAGTCTGGCAATCCATCAGTCTTCTCTTATTTAAAACCAGCCAACCTCTAGAACTGAGTTAGCTTGCTCAGCTAGTTGACCTGATGATTGCTGGTGGCTGGTTTTACAAACAAATCTCTCCATGGCAGTAATATTCAAGGAGATGTGTCAGAGGCTTTTGTCCTGACTACTAAAGGTAGTAATAGACCATGTCTTAGGGTGCTGCATGGTCCTGCTGGAACCAACACCTGCCCACATGAGCAAGTGTTGGGCTCCCCAAGTGTTCTTCCATACTCTCTTGAAAATGGCTTGTGTTTGCTATAGATCAGCCTGGGGAACATTGTCTTATGTCATCTGTGGGCTGAAACTTGACAGACCACAACTGGGAATGGCAGAATGTGCATTTGTTTCTTACTCTGGCACTGCTTGTGTGCAGCAATAAGTCAGATACTTCTCTCTGCTCTTCTGCTTTGTGAGATGGGGATAATTACTGTCCATTCTGGAAAAAAACCAAAATAATGAAATTCCTGATTTAGATTTATTCCAGGCTTAGACCATTAATATTTCTTGAAAAGATGTAATTATCTTTATTTAGAGTACAAAAAGCACATCTAGAGTACAGCATGCAATTGGAAGTTCCTCAATTGCTGAAAGATGTCAGTAGTTTGGAAGAAATTCAGGGAAGAGCAGCAAGAATGCTGGAGAGACTGAAGGGATTGATTTATGAGGGAAAGAAGATGAAAAGAAATGCATGAAACTCAGCTAAATGATGTCTAAGTGGGAGATATGATTATCCACAAGTATTTGAAGAACATAACAGAGCAGAATCCCTAAGGGTGGTCCAAGGAGGTGGAAGCAAAGCTTAATAACATGAAATAAAGCAAAGTGTAACTTGACTATTGATATATGTTATTTAGCAGAGATGTCTTGCACTTCCAGATTATCTTTGCAGAGGAAGATGATGCATTCCAATTTGCCAATACTCATGTAGTTTGCTTGGATGTTTGCTAGTGCAGGGTAAAACAGGTGAGCAGTAGGGTGGTGGGTGGAAGTGCAATTTATTTTTCTCTCACTTCTGATTTTGTGTCCAGGCATGCTTTTATTGCTTGAATGACAAGGTATAACCTACTTTCTAGAGTGTTTTCAGCAGCATCTAAAATTTTTTTAAAAAAGTATTTGCTGGCAGATATGCTGTTCTGTAGGGCTCAGTTGTGGAGCTGCTTGTGCTGTAACTGAAGGCAAAGCTTCAGGGCCTGTTAATTGACAGGATGACTCCTTTCCAGACTGGTTGCATGATCAAATGCATAAAAAGGGGGACATAATCTCTAAACTCACAAGAGAGTTTTGCATAGTTTAACAAGCTGCTTAAAAAGCAAATGGGATTTGAAAGGCAATTTAAACTACACTGCTTTTAAAGTTATGCTTTGTGTGGGTGAGGGAGTGAGCTACTGATGGAGCGCTGCTTGCTGAGGTGGGTGATACGTGGCAGCTGTTTTAGTTGTAAATGGAACACTGTATAGGGTAAATGAGTGAAAAGTATTGTTCAAGAACAAGTTTGGGGAGGCAGGAACTGTATGTTTAAGTGTCTTATTCTAAAGAAGATAAAGGCTAACAATGAGAGTCTTTGGAAAAATGCTTATTTCAACATACCTTGCACCAAGGAATGTTGTGCTGGTTGATAAGACATTTAGAGGAAAGTTCAGCAAATCATTTGAATAACCTAGTGGATTTTATTTAACTGTCTCTCACCCAAGAACTGACCCTGTAAAAACTGTGCTTGTTTGCAAAATCATGATTTCTTACTGTGTGTCTTGACATCTTCTAAAAGATTGACTTTAGACATGCCCATTTCTTTGGTTTTGGCTCATTGCATTTGTCTTGTGCTGGATTATTGTAAAACGTAGCAACTTTTTTAATCTAATTGGAGCATGTGTGATATCTCAGGCATGGTTCACTTTCTTTTCTGCCTTTCTGTCTAATTTCTAGTGAAGTGTTCATCCTTTCTGAGGCACTGCAATGTGTTTGACTGCCATTCTCCTCTTTTTGACTAAAAATTGCTGCACATGACTTAGTTAAGAGTTACCTTATTTCTTAATGCGAAGGAAGCAGTGCATATCTAACACTCCTAAGAGCTGAACGCATTTCTGAATTGAGCAAATTTAAATGTAACAAAAGACACTTTTCATAAGAAGAGATAAAAATGAGAATATTGGAGTACAAACTTCTCTGTTCTTTTTAGCCATACAGGATAACAGGAGTTTTAAGTTTCTTAAAACAGGTGAAAAAAAACTGGTTTATGACTTTGTCTTTTGTTGCCAGTAACTTTTTGCCTTGTGCTTGAGAGAACAAGTCCATTTCACTGTTTCCACTGCTTGTCATAGTAAGAGGGATTGAGCAAGACATAAAAGTCTGTTCTGAAGTAACAGCACAGATCTTCTCCCTAGCCCAGGACACAGTACCTCTGGGATCCTGCAGTGCTGGTATGACTGACATAAAGTGGTCAGAATTCAGCAGTGTCTTATTCTTGAGAGTTTCTTGTATTCTCACATGTGAAATTAAGTGTAGAAATGTAGAATGTGTTTCCCCCTTGCATATTCTGGATTTGGTGCATCTTTGGTGTTTTTATATTTTGCCAGTTTTTCATTGGATGAGATCCTACACTGGCTTGTAAAGTCCTTAATGACGTAGTGGGAGAGTTATGATGTAAGAACTGTACTACTATGTATGATTTCAATTCC